CTTACGAATTTACTAAGTTACACCTCAACCTTACAAATGTACTAAGTTACACCTCAACTTTACAAATGTACTAAATTACACCTCAACCTTACAAATGTACTAAGTTACACCTCACCTTACAAATGTACTAAGTTACACCTCAACTTTACAAATGTACTAAGTTACACCTCAACCTTACAAATGTACTAAGTTACACCTCAACCTTACAAATGTACTAAGTTACACCTCAACTTTACAAATGTACTAAGTTACACCTCAACAACTTTACAAATGTACTAAGTTACACCTCAAAAACTTTACAAATGTACTAAGTTACACCTCAACTTTACAAATGTACTAAGTTACACCTCAACTTTACAAATGTACTAAATTACACCTCATCTTTACAAATGTACTAAATTATACCTCAACTTTACAAATGTACTAAATTACACCTCAACCTTACAAATGTACTAAGTTACACCTCAATCTTACAAATGTACTAAGTTACACCTAAACCTTACAAAGCCAAGCAAGCCCAATATTGTTTGTTTGTAGCTAACAAAGTTTGGGTAAATATTTGTAATTAAACTCATGCAGCAATGAAAATCTCAAACGATGAGTTTTTTAAAAGTTGGTTATAATTTGGGAATATATTTCATAAGTGATGTACCTCTAAAGTTGAAAGACGAATGAAAAGAGAACATCTTGTTAATGCATCTATTGAAAGCTACTTAGAGATTAAAGATTATAAATACTAAACAAATATTTACAGCTCCTGATACTCTTACAGTTTCCAAAGAAATATCAGAGATTTTAACATTTTAAATATTTGAAATACACAGTGGGGAATAAAGCAGGGATTCACAAGTTTTTTGTATGAACAGAGTATAGTTAACACAAAATGGCCTTCAACTGAGACCTAGTGATTAACCTTTTATTTTCTAAGTATCTACAGTCTATTATCTTACAAGTTTTGTATCATTTATATTCTAATTTCTTTAAAATCAAAAATAAACTTTAGTGTTTTGTAAGTTTTACTACTTGTATGAGGCACTGTACATAACCAAGTTTTACCATTAATTTTAAAAATAAACTTTAGTGTTTTGTAAGTTTTACTACTTGTATGAGGCACTGTACATATCCAAGTTTTATCATTAATTTTAAAAATAAACTTTAGTGTTTTGTAAGCTTTACTACTTGTATGAGGCACTGTACATATCCAAGTTTTACCATTAATTTTAAAAATAAGCTTTAGTGTTTTGTAAGTTTTACTACTTGTATGAGGCACTGTACATATCCAAGTTTTACCATTAATTTTCTATTCAAATGGGCAATCGAGGGTAATTTTCATGACACATAACATTTCACCACATTATCTTTTTCATTTAGGTGTAGCATTGTTTCAGTTAAAACT